ACCACAAAAGTTATTAAGTACACAACAATTTTTAATATTTTTAATATTTATTTAAATAGTCTTAAAGTAAAATTAGTAATTATAATTTAAATATACTTTTAATTAATCACACCACAAACATAAACCTAGTGCCTTGTCGGCTATAAATAGAGATATTTTAATCCTACCATAACCATGCTTCTTAGAAATCCCCGAGAGAGGGGGGTGGGGAACTGGATGGTTGACTTGACCCACTCTACTCGTTGTCATTCTTGACCATTTAATATCGCACGAAAACTAATTATATAGAAATTCATTTAATCCATGAGTAATTAGTATAAAACGTTTTTATCTTTCAATATTATTGTGCATAGCATCTACACATTTCATTTTTTGATATTTTCACTCTTATTTCTACATTTATTGCGAAAATCATCATTTTCATTCATTTTCTCAATTAAAAGCAGTGAAATGACGAATATAACATTCTATTTAAATAAAACAAAAAGGAAAGGAAAGGAAAGGAAAGAAAAGAAAAAATAAAGAACTAATTGTAACAATAATCCTAAATTAGTATGGACTATTTCTTGGACTCATTTAACTTAAAAGTGGCTTTGTTCTCTCAATTGAAAAATATAAAATTAAAATAAATAGATTCAAGAAGGATTTGAAAAATTCGAGGCAGATGCCATGTTCTCCATCTCCGTTCCATTTACTATTCAAGATGGGGATTCATCGCCCCCATTTGAAGCGTGCGCAATGCAGGGCTGGTCGCAAGGCCCTATGTCTAGTTTTTGAAAATTAGAAAGTTGTTTACCAGGAGAAATTATTAAGTAATTATAGTATTCATGATTTCAATTGTTTGATGCGTTATTTTATTTTATTGATTTAATGGTCTTACACAAATTTAAATTATATTGAGAATAAGAAACTGCCTTCTATATATTCCTTGACGAAATGCTTAAGGCTTGACTTTATGCCAGGCCTTATACTTTTTAGAATACTGCCTATAGCTAATAATAGTAAATTAACTAAAGATTAGCTAATTGAATTAGCTAATATAGGAACAACTAAAATACACTCCTTAGTCCTTAGAAGAGGTAAAGAAACCACCTTGGCGGTGATGCCAACGGACCACTTTCGCCCTTAAAGAGAGGGAGTTCGATGTACTATACATTAAATTATTCATCTGTATTCATTGTGTATGTTTTGCAAATCTTACATTTTTTAAGTTAATTAAACATGCATTTTATTCACACATATCATAAAATTCTCAACTTACCCACTTATTATCTACAACATTTGATAACACAACTTATAAGCACATAAAAACACTACCATGAAAACACATTATTTGACTAAATAAAATGCAACGGCGACAATTTAATTAATGGAATAATTGGTAAACGTATTATAGAGATTTGGCTATAGATGGAGCTGTAATTCAAATGTTTTCCATGTTAAAATACTGTTTCCTAGAAAAAATTAGGAGTTAATAAAAAATTATTTTCCCATTTTACATTGTTGAATTCTGACACGACCAGACCCAAACATTTGTGCTTTACCAGGTCTTGTGATGAATTAGAAAAAAAAAAGGGACCGTGATTACTCCAATCACAGGTCAGTGCCTGGCCACACACAACAGGTGGGGCCGGGCAATTTTTTTTTTTTTTTAAATTGCCCCCACATGTGAGAGGCCTGTAAGGCCTCGGTAAGGATGAGCCCCGTACTCACGGCTTATTCCTAATTATNAAAAAAAAAAAATTGAATTAGAAAACCCAACAGCTCTCTCTCTCTCTCTCTCTGCCATTTTCCCGTTCTCTTCCCTCCCCCCAACAAAATGATGAAACCTCCAGCATCCGGTCAAATCCAGAACCTCCGACGGCATCCCCTCCTCCAACAGCCGGCCAACTTGAGTAGTGTGGCGTGGCCCACATCCGCTTCGTTTCCACAGCCGACGTTGTATCAGAGACGGTCTTCTACCACCAAAACATCGATCGACAAATCTGAGCTCTGAATCTTCAACATGCTTTGAAAAGAACGGATTTAATAGTCAAAATCATTTTGTTTCATCAATTTATTTATGTGCCAAAGAACACAAAACGAAAAAACCCATAAACACTACATTGAAAAGAACAGATTCAATAGTCAAAATCATTTTGTTTCATCAATTTATTTATGTGCCAAATAAAATAAGTGTCATAGACAGAGTCTTTCATCCTTGAACTCTAAGAAATGCTGAAAATAGTTTTAACTTACAGCTTCATACCTCGTTTTGTAATGAAATGTGGCTGGAGTGGAGTAATATGGAAGAAAATGCCTTCACAGCCGCGACCGGAGATGGAGAGTAAAATGCCGCCTACGCTCGTGACCGGAGATGGAGAAAGTGGCTGGAGTTATGGCCGGAAATGGTTATTCACTGATTTGGGGGAAACAGGGAACAAAAATGGGGAGAGAAAATGGGTATCAAATTTGGGAAAATGGGTACTGTGCAAAACTTGGGGAATTTGGCGCCCTCTGCTGGAAATAAAATCAGAGCCGTCCACCTAAAATGAACTGGACCGTACACGTCACTTTGTCACCCTTCTTTGTCAACCAGCTTTGTACAAACAGCATTATTCTTTTTTTTATCACATGTGGGGTCCGCCCCACATGTGAGTGGCCTATAATGTCTCGGTAAGAAGAGGCCTGTACTCAGGCCTTATTCCCAAAAAAAGATACAAGTGTAGGACCACCTATCACAGAAGGCCAGCTAGGCCCCTGTAACGTATGGGCCCGTACGTGTAGATCGGTCTGATGAATTATTCTAATTGTACAGGTGTACAAGTACAGGGGACATGTGATCCCATACACATAGCAAAGTTCCTTGGGGTTTGTCACAGATTTCATCAGACTTGACTTCAATATATATATATATATATGAAATTCAGTTCGATAAATCATACTGATAAATCATCTTCCATATTTCATGCGTTTGATATTAACCTAGCTATTTGATTTCTTCTCAAGATACATGCAAAAAGACGTGTTTCAGCAAGCTACTATGATCAATATTTTCTTGTTGGTTTCACTTGCAGCCCTTTTCTACTCCAACTCTGGGGCTGCCGCTGCCTCCGCCGCCACCTCAAAGCCGGGATGCCAATCGAAGTGTGGAGACTTAATTGTCCCATACCCTTTTGGAATTGGACTAGGAACAAACTGTTCAGTGGGCTCATGGTTTGATATAAACTGCAGCACCACTTTCAACCCTCCAAAGGCTTTCATTGGACCCACAAACCTCGAAATTATCAACATATCTGAAGAAAAAATACGTATCAAGAATTGGGTGGCAGCCAAATGCTATAACCAAACCGGTAACATAACCCGCGAAAACCTCGCATGGGTCAACTTAACCGGAACTCCTTACAGCTTCGCTGATTCGAACAAGTTCACGGTGGTGGGCTGCGATGAACTGGCAATTGTTGTTGGCATGAGTGGCCGGAATTTCACCAGTGGCTGTCTGTCGCTTTGTTCGGAAAGTGAAGATTTGATTGACGGGTTTTGTACAGGTATTGGTTGCCATTTTTTTTTTTTAACTAAACCACTATAGGTAGCTTATTTTATTAAAAAACGAATAAACATGGTACAGTTTTCGAAGGTGACACAACCTTAAATCCAATTAAAGGTTACAAAATTTTTATAGGTATTGGTTGTTGCCAGACTCCTATACCAAAAGGCCTAAAGGCCTTTTCTTGTGCACTTGGAAGCGTCAAGAATCATACTAAAGTCTGGTCCTTTGATCCCTGCGGTTATGCTTTTCTTGGAGATCAGGATATCTTTAAATTTCGGATGTCCGATTTTTCTGATGAAAAGTTTCAGAATAGCACGACTGAAAATGTGCCAATAGTGATTGATTGGGCTATTGGGAATCAGAGTTGCAGTGAGGCCAAAAAGTATGCTGATTATGCTTGTCTTGAGAACAGTGTTTGTGTTGATTATGACACGAGTCTTGGTGGATACCGCTGTAATTGCTCGACAGGATATGAGGGCAATCCGTATCTAAGTCCAGGCTGCACAGGTTAGTTTTTTGATGATTAGTTATGAAAATTATCTCAGCATATTTTGTCGAAAATTCTCGCATGTATGGACCGCGGAGAAAATCAGTTGAGAAAGCCGGCTTCACACATGGCCAAACATGCTGGTTTCAACCTTAGTTTCTCAGTAAGCCACTCTAGGTGGCGTGTTCAACCTTAGTTTAGATATATATAATCTTCAAAACACTGGTAACATGATATATCAATTAATTGATGAATAAATCCATGATAAGTCCAAAAATTAAATTATTTACCTAGATATGTCACATCATCGGTGCTTAACTTATGCTAAGCAAGGTGCTTAATATATCATCTCTCTCTATATGTTGATGGATTGAATACTATTTTACGGATCTTTTATTAATCAACGAAATGCCAAATGGAACGGAGGACTGGACAGAATTATACAAGATAACAAGTATATTTACACCTCCCTAATAAATATTTCAAGTGATTTATTAAATCTCATTGAAAAATATTTGAAGATGGAAGTGTAGAACTAATCAAACACAAATTAAATTCACAACAGAGTTGATTTAGTTTTTGTTTCTATTGAAAATAAAAAAGTATATAATCTTGATATTGCACTTGGTTTGACAGATATTGATGAATGTAAGAGCAATCCATGCGATGAAAATGGAAATTGTACAAATACTCCGGGTAGCTTCAGCTGTCATTGCAAACATGGATACTCTGGCGATGGTAAAAAAGATGGCCGTGGTTGTATTGCTGAGAACTCCCAGTTCCCAGTAATCAAGTTCTCACTAGGTCATTCTTCTTCTAATTATAAAGCATATGTACCCCTTTCATGTTCTATTGTGTAATCATTCATGGATACTCTTAAATCTGAATGAAAGTTTGTTTGTTATCCAATATTTTATGTAATGTTTTCAGGTTTCAGCACAGTCTTCGTGTCTATAATCATTGCCATGACATGGCTATATTTTAGCGTTCAAAGAAGGAAGCTTGTTAGAATGAGAGAAAAATTCTTCAACCAAAATGGTGGGATGCTTTTGAAGCAGCAAATTTCTTCAAATGAAGGTGGAGTAGAATCAACCAAAATATTTTCTGCTGAAGAACTTGATAAGGCCACCAACAAGTATGCTGAAGATCGGATTCTTGGCAGAGGGGGCTATGGTACTGTCTATAAAGGAATTCTATCTGATGAACGTGTAGTCGCAATTAAGAAGTCGAGAATAATGGATCAGGGCCAAATCGAGCAATTCATTAATGAGGTAATGTTCAACTTACGTAAAAAGAAGTTAATTTATTTAAATTTCTATCCTCAAGTTACATAAAAACAAATTAATTTATTTGTATCTTCAGGTTAGTACATACCACGCTCCACACTTGTAGTTCATATTCATTTCTCATCAAAGGTCACGTGCACAATTTTCATACACCGCAAGACTTCAAACATATAATCTTTGACACTTTGAGACCATATAGAACTACCTTGTTTGAAATTTATGCTATTGAAGGCGAACAAATTTATTTATTTAAATTTTGTTTTCCACAGGTTGTTATTCTTACTCAGGTTAACCATCGAAATGTGGTGAAATTGTTGGGGTGTTGTTTGGAGGCTGAAGTTCCTCTTCTAGTATATGAATATATTTCAAACGGTACACTCTTTCACCATTTACATAATGGTGGTGAAATACCTTGGTTTTCTTGGGAAAATCGGTTAAAAATTGCTGCTGAAGCTGCTGGTGCATTAGCCTATCTTCACTCAGCAGCTTCTATGCCTATTATTCATCGTGATGTCAAGTCGAGCAACATATTATTAGACAACATGTATACCGCCAAAATATCAGATTTTGGAGGTTCAAGATTGGTGCCCTTGGACCAAACACAAGTAACAACACTAGTTCAAGGTACTCTAGGCTATTTAGATCCCGAGTACTTCCACACGAGCCAATTAACCGAGAAAAGTGATGTCTATAGCTTCGGAGTGGTTCTTGCCGAACTTATGACAGGAAAGAAACCTCTTTCACCAACAAAATCGGAAGAAGAGAGAAACTTGGCTACATATTTCATTATGTCCATTAAAGAAAACAGATTTTTTCAAATTCTTGAGCCTCGGATTTTGAGGGAAGGTAGTTTGGAACAACTGCAAGCTGTTGGTGAGTTAATCAAAAGATGCCTGAACTTGAAGAGCGATGAAAGACCAACAATGAAAGAAGTGGCAATGGAGTTGGAAGGATTAAGGAAATATATGAAACATCCTTGGCATCAACAAGGAAATGCTGAAGAAAACATGGCGTTGTTGAGTGAACAATCAGACCTATATGATATCACATTAACAGGTCAAGAATTTACAACTTCTGGACAAGATAGTTTGTATTCTGATACGATATATCCTAGCAGCAATCCTCGTTAAGTGATTTGTAATGACATTAATTATTTTTGCACTGGTTTAATTCTTTTCATGTCATATGAATGAGCATCTATATGTATGTCAAGTACCCCACCTTCTCTTGTCAATCCAAGTTTTAAAATAAGTTGAAGATGCAAAAATTTAAGCTCTTAGATAAGGCCAAATGAATATCGTTTAAATATTAATTTCAACACGTCCCTTACTTCTAGGCGAGATCTATTTCTTCTCATCAAAGCTTTACACATGGACAAATTTTGTATAAATGTTTGGCGCAAGATTTGAACCCAGCCAACTATTTATTATGTAAAATGACTTGATCTAAAAACTTAAAACATTTAGATATGACCAAAAGTAAACCATTTAAATATCATCTCCAACAAAATATAGGTTTCGGGCACAATTTTCTGATATCCCCTTGTATTGTTTTATAGTTCACATTGTTAAATTAGAAAATTTGTATTACAACAATTTTATTCTCTCTTTTTCCCATTCTCCTTTTTTCATTAAAAATTAGCATGTACTCATTTTATCGTACAAAATTGACTTACTGTTAGAGGAGTGTGTGTGGGTCGATTGCATTCTTGATTTTATTGAAAACATTCTTGCGTCTGATATGAATGAATGAATTTTGCCTTGCTTTCAAAAAAAAGATTGAATTGGACTAAGACTCAAATAAAGGAGGGTCTCCTATATACTAGTTTCTACTCGTTTCTTCTGAAATGCACACCTTTTAATGTCCTAATTAAATACATGATTCAGTGTGATGGTTATAAGTACGTGTGGACAAATTACTCGTTTAACTGGCATAAATCCTGAGTCGATTCGATTTGACGGTTTGGAGAGATGTTGGTTTGGTTTTCGGGTTGGCTTGAATCCGATAAATCGAACTGACTTGGTTCAATTTGAATCGGTTTATTCATCTCGTCGATTTGATTTCAGATTGAGATTTCACCCAATTTGAGCCATCAATTCGATTGTTTAGTTGAGTCCAAACCCGATCCAAGGCGACCCCGTGCCCACCCCTAATCACAAGAATTATAGAAAGCTTGCACGTTGAAACGATGCCTATTAGAATTTAGGGATTTAAGTTGACAAGATAAGTCGTTGCAACATGAGGGGCCCCACGTTTAACTTTCAAAATTTTTCGTTATAGTTTCATTGTCTTGAAAGTTTTAATTTTTCTTTTCAATGAATGCGGAATCAATTAATCTTGTTAATTTACAGAATAATTTATTTATACAAAGACTTGATTTCGATTTAACTGTAAATGAATAAACCTTGCTCAAGTCTCCAAATGAAGTCTGACCTTATTTTATATTATAAAACCATAGAAATTTGAACACGTAAGTTCTAAGAATATCAAACATTAATAGAATGGAGGGCGATTGACATGATGTCTTTTGTTGAAATCGTCATCACCACATTGTTAAAGGAACAATTCCTGCATTGGCAGCACTTGTGTGAGTGATTATTAAAGATGCACTTGGATTATCTTACTATGTTATATGAATATTGGGCATCTATTTGTCAAGTATCCCACGATTTTTCTTGCCAATCTAAGAGTTAAAATATAGATGTACAATAAATAATAGCGAAACTAAATGAAAATGGATTGATAAATAGATTTGTAAAACGGGTTTGGTTAAGCTATTTGATTAGACGCCCAAAATTGAGGATGGAAGGTGCAAATAGAAGTATAAAACGAGGTAATTAAAATTAGGGTAAATATATGAGGGAAATTATTAAAAATATCCCAAATTCAACCATACACTTTCCAAAA